GTGAACTGTAGAAATGATTTACAGTAAAGAAGGATGAGGTTGCCCATGGTTAAAACTGATTTACAGTAAAGAAGGATGAGGTTTGCCCTGTAAAACTGATTTACAGTAAGGAAAGATGAGGTTGCTCCTGGTAGAAACTGATTTACAGTAAGGAAGGGATGAAGTTTCCCATGGTAGAAACTGATTTACAGTAAGGAAGGGATGAAGTTGCCCCTGGAAGAAACTGATTTACAGTAAGGAAGGTGAGGTTGCCCCTGGTAGAAACTGATTTACAGTAAGGAAGGATGAGGTTGCCCCTGGAAAGAAACTGATTTACAGTAAGGAAGGATGAAGTTGCCCCTGGTAGAAACTGATTTACAGTAAGGAAGGATGAGGTTGCCCCTGGTAGAAACTGATTTACAGTAAAGAAGGATGAGGTTGCCCATGGTAGAAACTGATTTACAGTAAAGGAGGATGAGGTTGCCCATGGTAGAAACTGATTTACAGTAAGGAAAGATGAGGTTGCTCCTGGTAGAAACTGATTTACAGTAAGGAAGGATGATGTTGCCCCTGGTAGAAACTGATTTACAGTAAGGAAGGATGAGGTTCCCCCTGGTTAGAAACTGATTTACAGTAAGGAAAGATGAGGTTGCTCCTGGTAGAAACTGATTTACAGTAAGGAAGGATGATGTTGCCCCTGGTAGAAACTGATTTACAGTAAGGAAGGATGAGGTTCCCCCTGGTAGAAACTGATTTAAAGTAAGGTCAGTTTGTCACTTCATACTAACGGTTACAGTTAGGAGTTGGGTAGGATAAGCTGTTTACACACTAAACTAATTGGTATCTTTCAAGATATTGACTTTATAGGGTCCAACCACAGAGTTGAGTTAAGGATTAAGAGCCCAGGGTTAACCCATGATAGTCCAGGGTTAACCCATGACATATCTCAAACGTGTCAATATGTGTTACAAAGGTCACTACAGCTAGACGCTACATAGATGTTACCTCCCACAGTTATCTCATGACCAGACCGCTCTGTTGTTGTGTAAGAGAGAATGTGTGTGTGTGTGTGTGTGTGTGTGTGTGTGTGTGTGTGTGTGTGTGTGTGTGTGTGTGCGTGACCCACACCTACCTGCAGGTGAGCTGCTCTTGCTTGCTTGGATAGAAGGTGGCATTGAGATAGAGAAGACACTTCCACCCATCATGGTCCCTGAGTACGGGGAGATCTGGAGACAGTACTGCCTGTAATCTCCACAGCAGCCTCAGTAGGGACACACATGTAGCATGGCATGAACACGTCTCCCATGTTTCACCACACTGTCCCTCACATGATTGACCTGAAGAAAGATACATCTTCTTATCTTACTCAAAAGATAACTATTTTGTTTTAACTTGTTTGTTTTTTTTAACATACAATACTATGGTAACAATTACAGTAGTTGGTATCTGAATCGTATTAATCTCGGTTAACACAGAACTAAAATTTCACGTAATTTGGTCAGCTGCGTGATTTCTTATAAGCAAATGAAATGTATAAACTACACTGAACAAAAATATAAACACAACATGTAAAGTGTTTCATGAGCTGAAATAAAAGATCCCAGAAATTTTCCGGACGCACAAAAAGCTTATTTCTATAAAATGTTGTGCATTAATTTGTTTACATCCCTGTTAGTGAGCAGTTCTCCTTTGCCAAGATAATCCATCCACCTGACAGGTGTGGCATATCAGAAGCTGATTTGGTATTTTATTAGGATCCCCATTAGCTGTTGCAAAAGCAGCAGCTACTCTTCCTGGGGTCCACACAAAACATGAAAAATGACATAATAGAGAACATGAATAGACAAGAACAGCTCAAGGAAAGAAAACTACATACATTTTAAAGGCACACGTAGCCTACATATCAATACATACACACAAACTACCTAGGTCAAATAGGGGAGAGGCGTTGTGACGTGAGGTGTTGCTTTACCTGCTTTTTGAAACCAGGTTTG